ATTGTTAGTAGAATTTGACCTCTTTAACTTTTATAATTGAAATTTAAATTCTGACAATAATAAAAAATATTCAAGAAAATTTAGCAATATACATTAAGGATAACAATGAATTGGGTGGAGGTGGGATTTATCCAATATTGGATTTTTTTTTTTTTTACTCAACTTTGAACTTAACACACACACACATACATACACACACACATATATATATATATGTATAAAACTTGTGTTTGACTCGCATCCTATTTGAAATTAATTTAATGATTTTAATTTAATATTATATTTATAAAAGTATTAATTTTTAATATAAATTATAATTTTTGACATATAAGATGGGTATAATCCATAGGAGAAAAGGAAAGTGGTATATGTTTGAAACCAAGACCTTTTATGTCCTTGAACTCCTTAGCTATTAGATGAAGGAATTGAGGATATAAATTATATTTTAAAGGCAAAACGATCAAAAAAGTCCCTGAATTAAAATTCAATAATCATACAAGTTTTTATTGATTTTTATAATTAATTAAATCTTTAAATATATATTTTCATCAATTAAACATTTATTAGAAGAAAAATAGCTAATTGTGACTTAATTGAGTAAAAATAGATGTGTAAGGGTTTAGTTGGTGAAAATAAATATTTAAAAGTATAATTGATTCAAAAATAAAAGGTTCAGAACTTGGTTGATTGTAGTAAAACGTTAAGAATTTAAATAATTATTGAATTTTTGTTTAAGGACTTTTTTACCCTTATGCCTATTTTAATTATATATAAATATAGTAGTTTTATTAAATTAATATGATAGATTAGAATATTAATTAATAATTTAATTAATATATACATATATAAATATAAAATTAAATAAAAAATAAAAATATTTTTTATATATCGCGAATGAGTTGGGGTGGAGTACCCTAAAAGCCCCTCAAGGCTTCCAATTGACAATCTGGCTTTGCGTTGCCTTCTATCCGACATCAATAATTTTTTTAAAAAATCTGATTCGTCTCTAACTAGACTTACAAATTTTAAAATAAATATATTTATTAGATGAGCCAAATCAAAATTCTAAGTGCAAATTATTTTGTCATCCCTAACTGCAATTCCATTGTTAAAAAGCCTAACGAACTAATTATAATGGATGAATGATTAATAGGGTTTTATTTATTTGTTTCATGGTATACATTACATATATTAATTCCATCAGTCATATGAAATTATAAGTAAGTCCATAGATAATAAGTATTACTTAATCTTTGCAAGGGTTGGTGAGAAGTTCGTTTCTTATAAAAACTATATATGCGTTGCTATGTATGAATCATGGCGACTGGACATTTGCGCGAACATAGAAAAAAACCTCCTTTTACCTGTAAAGGAATGGTACAGTCGAGATCACAAGATTTTCATTGGATTGTCTCGGAAAAGTGACAGAGACATGTCTCCAGGTGCAGCACAATCACAGCTCTGCAATGACAAATAACTCTGTAGAGTTGTTTCACACATTCATGAAATTTCAAATCAGAATAATATCACCTCTGAATTTTTCTGCTTGTGTGTTCTTTTCTTTCGGTATATATAACTATTTAAGGGCCGGTGGGATCATATTTTCTCTCCACTATAATAGTTAAAAAAAAGGAAGGGTGAGGCCAAATCGTTTAACCCTTTTGACATGCTCGTTGAAGTTGCTACCTTCCTGTATGTTTTTGAGAGAACGAACGAAATTGGTTTCTGTACATCAGCAAATAAGTAATGAAAGAATTTTAATTTTAATTCAATTGGTTTATATAATTAATTTTAAAAATTGAACAAAATTATAATTCAAATCTTTAACGCTTATAAATTTTTTTTTTTTCAGATTACATTATTTTTTATACCAAAAAAGAAAGAAAATGAAAAATATAAACAGATATTTTGACTTATGTTTTGGCTAATAGCAGAAGGATAAGCAGCTACGGATCGAGAGCAATCCAATATTTGCTATGGTTAACCACAAGGATAATTCAACGGTGACTATTCTAGCACTTGATTTTGTGGAATTTATAAAATTAAATATGTTAGGCTTGAGTACTCTTGAGGGTAACTTTATGGTTAATGCTTGTAACTGGAAACTCAAGAAGTTGTATAAATCAAAGACTGACATTAACTAAGTATTATAATTAACTATAGATTGAATAAATAATGTGTATAATATAGTATAAGGGTAGACATACAAAGCTTAATTAATATATTTATAGAAAGTAATGAGGCAAAAGCCAGCATTAATTTTAGCATGTAATTAACAGCATAACAAAAGTTTGTGATGAATTTGAAGTTTAGTTCAAATAATTTACTTAAGAGGAGATACTTTTTTTAAGAGGTGAATTGTTGAAAAGCTGTAATTTAGTTCTTATCACTTGTAAACTTTCTTTTTTCCAATTTTCCTTAAGTCTTGGGCCTTCTTTGTTTCGAAAATATATATATATATATATATATATTTGATACACTGTCAATGTATAGATTTTATACAATATCAATGAATAAAATGATGCTACCTTATTAATGAAATGAATCAAATGATGCTATCTCATTAATAAGTAAATTTTTTAAAAAAATTATTTTTTGTATATTTATTTTAAGAATTTATATTTATTCATCAATGAGGTGATATCATCTGATTTATTGATAATATATAAAATTTATACACTAACAGTATATAAAACATTAACTCAAAAAAAATTGAGATTTCCATTTTTTGGGACTTGTAGATTTTTTTTTTAATTTTTAATCTCTTGGTGAAAATGTTATTGCCTTAAAAAAAAAAGCAATATTAACAAAGGAGCAATATATGATTCACTATATATACATTTTCAAATGGTTATTAAGATTTACATGTGAGTGTGATTTCTCATATAGATTAAAATAAAAAAAAATGCACATGCATAAAAGGACTCCATATACATATAGAAAACATAAATATATATATATATAAATATCTTTTTTATTATGGCATTTTTTAAAATAAAGGAAAAAGGTGGGTTTTTTAGTAGGTTAAAAATTTTAATATGAAAAAAACTCAGTTCTACGTAGCAATATGCGTATGTGTATAAATAATCTTCACCTACATAAAATACTTAAGAATCCAAATTAACTTAAAGAGTACTATTTTTGAATTCAAGTTACATTTAACATGTATGAATGAAAGATAACAGTATTTCGTTTATGCTGATACTTAACATTTGATCTGAAACTTTTTACAAAAAATAATAATAATAGTAACAAAATCTATGGCCACATTGCAAAGCAAAGCACATGTAGGAGTGACATTGTAGTGAAACAGTAGTAGTAAGTAGTTTGTCGGAGTGGGAACAGGTCTAATTTGTCTTTACCATTGGCATCACGTGGCACAAGCAATCAAATTGATCACATATATACATCTTGTTTGTGGAAGGATGGCAATGAAAGGTAGCCATCAATCGCTAAACTCAATGAAAAAAACACCAAATTAACTAAACTAATAATTATAGGGTTTGTCTCAATTTAGCACAAATCCAACAAAAAATTGGCCGGCTAAGACAGCTTCCTTAACCTATTCTTTACCCTCTGATGTATATACAGCCACTGCATTTAGTAGACGAGTTAGGGAAAAAGTCGAAGGAGGAATAATTAGAAACTGTCCAAAATAGCTTAGGAAAGCTCTATCAACACCAAAATTAGCACTCGAGGGTCAAGAATGACTGAGAGTTATAATATTTTGAATATAAATTGTTTCGACTAATACAGCTAGCTAAGTAACATCGAGGATCGTATGCCAGTGTTTCGAGTAAGAAATCGAGGCATTGGAAAGAATGGAAGATTTTTAATGAATTTGACAGGCTTCAAGGTGTGACTGGCATGGTGGATTTTGTCCATAGTCATCGGAAACTAATTCATTTGCAGACTCTTTTACTAAAATGTTGGTGATAGGTTTGGATTTCATTTTGTTTATATAGAAATCTAATCGGAAATGCTTTCTGATTATACAGAGGTTGAATTGCTGTAACCTTCTATTTCATTAATGAAATTGAAATTGTGGCTGAGAAAAAACAAAAAAGTAACATCGAGGAGGAGTATGATTGAACTGTAAATTTAGCATTCCTTCATTTATAATTTTTGGCAAACGAAACAAGCAAATTTCGCAAAAATGGTTGGAGAATTACATTAGTTAATTACCACTTTGCTCTTAAAGGATTATTAGATTGGAAAAGGACATGCACAGATGTACCATCTAATTAAGTCATTCAGGTGATTTTGGGGTGAGAATACATATAGAAATTAATCCCCTAAAATTGAGATTACATGTTGTAAGAAAATCATGTTCAGTAAAAAAGAAAAATCCTGAATTTAAGCTCTCAATTTAATCTATATGATAAAAAAAGTTTCTTGCATTTTTCACAAACTTACTGGAATTTTATTTACTTTTACCGTATGCATGCATTTTCAGGTAAGCAGTTAAAATATTTACCTTACTCATGATTAATTAATTCATGAATTATGAGGTACCTGTCTTGTCTGGTAATCCAGGCCACTCAAATCACTATAATGCTGAGTTTCTAAGTCTCTTGGCACAAGAAACTTTAAATTTTTTGGCTGCATGCTATATGGATAATCATTCAATAAGGACCTTTCCCTGCTATATATAGCCTTCAAGTAACAGATAAACTAGCTCTCAAATCTCTCTCTCTCCTTCTCAACACTTTGACGCATGAAAAACACAAAGGGAATGTGTAGATTTCTTTCTCCCATCTCCAACACCTCATATTTGTTGAACGGATTGGCAACTCACATCTGCAACCAGATAAAACCCTAGCTCTTCAATTCCATCCACCAATATCAGCCATACGGGTGTCAAACAAACAACACCAAAATAAAATTAAGAAATTAAACCCACGTCCTCTCCTCCATCCTCTTTTCTTTTCTTTTCTTCATTGAGGGTCATCAAAATCTTCCATGCATGTTGATTCAACGAAACCCTTTCATCAAAAGCCATGAAAAGTGAGCTGAGAGGAAACAATGCATCCATTTCCCTTCAAAACCCTAGTCTTTTCGACACCCAACAGAGTTCCATAACTGGAGCACTCAGAGGATGCCTTGGTAGTCTTGATGGAGCATGTATAGAGAAGCTTCTACTTCACTGCGCCAGTGCCCTTGAGAGAAACGATGTGACTTTGGCCCAGCAAATTATGTGGGTGCTCAATAACGTCGCTTCCTCTGTTGGCGACCCTAATCAAAGGCTTACCTCCTGGTTTTTGAGAGCTCTCATCTCTAGGGCATCTAGAGTTTGCCCCACAACGATGGATTTTAATGGCGGCAGCACATTTCACAGGAGGCTAATGACCGTGACTGAGCTAGCCGGGTATGTTGATCTAATCCCTTGGCACCGGTTTGGGTTTTGTGCATCAAACAGTGCCATTTTTAATGCGGTTCAAGGATACCCCAAAGTTCATATATTAGATTTTAGCATCACTCACTGTATGCAGTGGCCTACTCTAATTGACGCCCTAGCGAAAAGAGCTGAAGGGCCTCCTTCACTTCGAATCACGGTACCCTCTTGCAGGCCACCAGTCCCTCCTTTGCTTAACGTATCAACCGAGGATGTTGGCCACCGTTTGGCAAATTTCGCAAAGTTTAGGGATGTACCCTTTGAATTCCATGTAATCGAAGACCCTTGTTTGCCTTCATCAGGTGAAATTTTGTCCAAAGAATACTCCGGTTTTCAGTTTGAATCACTTTTAAGTCACTTGACTTATTCCAAGCTAGACCTTAGGGAGGACGAGGCTTTGGTAATAAACTGTCAAAATTGGATACGGTATCTGTCTGATGAGAGGAAAGGAAATACTGCTCACGATTCTTCTTTGCGAGACGCTTTCCTTCACATAATAAAAGGCCTTAATCCACGTATTATAGTTGTGGTCGATGAGGATTCTGATCTGAGCGCATCAAGTCTCACTTCAAGGATCACAACTTGCTTTAATTATCTTTGGATACCCTTTGACGCATTGGAGACTTTCTTGCCCAAAGATAGTAGCCAAAGGGTAGAGTATGAATCCGATATTGGTCACAAAATTGAAAACATCATCAGTTTTGAAGGGTTTCAAAGGATAGAGAAGTTAGAATCTGGTGCAAAATTGTCACAAAGGATGAAGAACGCCGGTTTCTTTGGCGTTCCATTTTGCGAAGAGACCATTACAGAAGTTAAATCCCTGCTAGATGAACATGCTAGCGGATGGGGCATGAAGAGAGAGGAAGATATGCTGGTTCTCACATGGAAGGGTCACAACTCAGTTTTTGCCACAGCCTGGGCCTTAACCGGGCTGGAGGATTGACACGGGTGTGGATTTCAATGTCTTGAAGTGCTATATTATGTAGCATATTCGGGGGCTACAATATAAGGGGATGGGGAGCGAGTGGAGATTGACGGTCTGTGGTCCTGTTGAAGCAACAGAGACAAAAGAGGTTGCTTTTTTGCTTTGTCAAAAAGGCTGCAAATGAGCTTAAGACAAGAAGGAAAACGGCAGCATTTTGAGGATAACTTCATACTATCTTTTAGCTGGCTCAGTTCACATGAAAAAGCTGGGAGAGAAATGTACATATTGTCTTTGTATGAGACAAAAACCGCTTCCACTTTGTTTTCCTCTCTGTGCTGATGGCTTCTGTCTCTGGACGCTTGACAGAAACCAGCCAACAAGCCCTTTCCTATTTCAGCTATCATATTCCCTAATTGTCACTCATTTCCCACATTTTCTTATATCACCTTTTATATATCTATTGTACCTTTTAATAAGTTATACCAATGAAGTTTGCATGTGTACTTTTATTTATCCATATGTAAGCTACCCCCTTCGTCTCAATTGCACTGATCAAGAGATTTGCTTAGTTTCACAACAGGTTTAATTTGTTTGGCTAATAAGAAAGTTCTTTATTTCTTTGGAGTCACGTCTAAGTAAACTTAACAATTTTAAATACCATACAAAAATACTATGAAAACATACATTAATTATATATTTGTATTTAAAATTTTAGTAAAAATTATTTTTAAATTTAAAAATAAAAAATATGTTTTGTATTTAACTTGTGAATATAATAACTTTTAATATTTTACAATACGTTTCACATGTACGAAACCATGTAGATGCACAAATTGTACTACAGTTAAGTCTATAATTTCACGTGGTACTCATCATTTTTCTTTTACTTTTCCTCGAAAATGTGGATTGATTTCAATAAAGATTAATTCAATCAACTTGCAAACAGAAAAAAAAAAAAAGAATGAAAACCAGATAGAGCCCCAAAACATAGAAGCCTACCATTAATTAGTACAAGGGTTGTTATTTGGAGTCGTATAATAATCCTTTGATCATCATTGGCTCTGGCCATGAAAAACTTTGTATTGGCATCATTAATAACCACTGGTTCCATGGTGTAGTGGTTTAGCACTAAGGACTTTGATTTCAGCAAATTTGATGCTCCTTTTATTTTTGCATGATCAGCAGATGTCTTTATAGATTCAGCAACCGAGGATTATTTATTTTGAGTTCATCGTATGTAGCGTTTGATTAGCTTCTAAAGCTCAGATTTTAAAATTAAAGACTTTTTAACATTATGTTTGTGGCAGGAGGGACAGAAGAAGGAACGAAATGGAGTAAAAAAAAATTACATTCTTCCTTTTTGTTTTAGTTTTTTTGGATAAATGGCAATTTATTATTCAAAATATAATAAAATAGAAATCTAATATTAAAAAAAAACTGTAAAAATGTTAATCAGTTATACGTAAAGACGAATAAACGTTCCCTTTTTTAGTTTGGTAAAAAGAAAATAGGAGAAGAGAAGAAAAATGGGATGGATTTAATACCAAATTTAGTCTCTTTAGATAAGGAAATAATAGTATTTTCCATTTTCTCCACGTGAAACATGAAGCATAGTCATTAACAAAGCTTTATAATGAACTGAAAATAAAAGATAAATGACAAAAAAAAAAAAAGTAAAAATACTTACCAAAAGAAACCAAAGTGTTCTTGACTTCTTAGATCAACATTATCTATCCCATTTTTTCATCTTAAGCACGTATCCGATATAAATTTGGGTTTGTATGAGTCTAATTTCTTTAGCATTTCATTTCGTCCAAATTTTAATGGTGGCAAATACGTCGCCATATGACTTTGAATGGGCTTTATTTAAGACCGTTTGATCCATTGCCATGGAGCCCTATGATTTTGAATGGGCTTCATATAAGACTTTTTGATCCATTGCCATGGAGTCCTATAACTCATACAATGATACTGTATATGACGATGATTTTACAGCATAAGAGAAAAAGAAGAGGCCCGGTTAGTGTTTGTCATTAAGAGTGCAAATAACTAAAAACAACTGTATCCATCAGCTTGCAAATACTGTTGCCTGTTTCATGAAATTGTATTACCATATTAGTTATGCGAAATACTTAAACTCAAAATTTTAAAATTTAGTCAAGTTCATTTATGTAATAGTTTTAAAAATTAAAACTTAATAGATATGAGATTTAAATTTTATCATTTGTAATTTTTTTATTTTCAAATTATGATATAATTTATAAAAAAATACTTATTTAAAAAATTATGTTAGAAAAGAACCATTTCAACATGATAACTTAAGTGATTTAAAAAAAGGAAATAGTTATTCACTAATATATATATATATATATATATATATTATAAAATAAAAATTTGGGATGGCTCCTCTTGAACACGTATGCCATAAGCGATTTATACCTAATTTGAAAAACCTTTCACTTTATCATCAACACTGCCTCTAGCACATGATTTGCTGCCATTTCATGACATCATACTTGCATTCAAAAGGTGATTAAAGCTGGGCCAGTTTAACCACGTTCTCTTGAAAAGGGTCTTTCATGGTACCTGTTTAAGCTTAGTGGAGGAAAACAAAAGTTAGATGTACTATTCGTATTAGAAAATAAAAAATCTGCCAGGTTTAGCTCCCAGCCATATTCCTGTGTATCCTATCCTTTCAATTTGAGCAATGAATACTGAAAAGCAAGAGAGATGAAATTACCGAAAGAAACAAAGGGATTTTGAAATTTTGTTGGGGGGTCACTACCGTTCCACAACCAAGAAAGCCTCCAAATTTATTTTTTTTTGGTACGAGACTGAGAGATGCATAAATTAAAATATAATACGGGTACAAACAATGACCTGCTGCATCGGTATATAAGAGGAGGTTCATGAAATAAAACATAAGAGTTTCCCTCATTCATAGGACTACAACAAAAGTTTCCCTCAGACAGGAGGCTCTAATTTGTTATACTTATATATGCTATATTCACTCTTTATGTGTTGTTAGTTGTATTAACGGATATCCCTCTAGGCGTTTTTAAGAAAAAGATACCCACAAAAAAAAAATTCTAAAAATTTGAATTAATCTATTAATAAAATATTATATTTTTAATTTTGGTAATCAAAGTTTAAATTTTTATAATTTTAAAATAAAAAAATAAAAAAATACGATTCATTTTATTTTCATATAAGACTCAGGGTGTGGTTTGAATTAGAATATTATAGGCAAAAAGAAACTTCCTAAAATTAGAAAATTTGAGCTTTTAACATTGGAAATTAATTTTTAAAATATTTAAGTGATTGAATCATGAATTAATCATAAAGTTAAAACGGCACCGTTTTGAGTTTGCTTTGGAAACCGAAAAGATGATTGGTTAATTATTATCGATCTGAGATTCTATCGATCATCAGTGTGTAAAGACCAAAGACAAATAAAAATACGCTTTCTTTTCTTATAAATATCAGGAATACCCCTTCTAAAGTTGCTTAGTTGAAGTCTTCCTTGAATCTTAAAAAAGAAAAAGTTTGACAAGATTTCCCATGCATTTTCTCTGTAATCACTTTGGTGCCCATATCGACGGTGAAACCGTAAAAGGGAAATGCTCGTAAGGGTAAAAAAGTCATTATGAATTTATGAATCACGTGACACCCGCATCCTACAGCCTATATCCGTCTTGTCTTCTTCTTTATGAGCGCAACAGTTGTTAGATGGGTTCACGGTTCACCTCCGGCCAACCATCCTCTTAGGATGCGTTTAGCCTTGGGAGAGAAAAAGCCCCTTTTTTTTTTACCATACCTACTGGATTCCTTTTTCCGTGGGAGGCACGGCCAATGGAAAATGCCAATTTGATTATCAAAATGAAGTACATATGAGAAATTATTTAAGTTATTATTACTAAGTTATTGACATGATGGGTTTCAGTTAGTCAACCACTCTAATCGTCTATATGAATAAATCCTATTGTATGAATAAAATAGCACTCCAACTCAATGCAATCAAGGAAAAATCTTGGAGGAGAATCCGAACCAGATTGACAATTGTAATTTGGGAACAAAAAATTATGAATATTTCATTGGGGAACCATTTAGAAGTTGGTCCATCACAACCCTGGCCTGGTGAAACTAATCAAAAGAGTCCAAATGGGCTATTTAGCCATTGCACATTACTATAGAAAGTAATATATATGTCAATGACTCAAGAGTTAGTATTATAAATATATATATATGTAAATGGATGGTGCGTGTATCACGGATTTAATAAATAATCCTAAATCTTATATCAAATATAAAAAGAATGTCACTAGAGTATATAAGGATTCACACCATTTTCTTTTGTGATACGCCTTTTGTAAGATAAAATCATGAGATCAAGGGGGTCAGAGTGGACAATACCTTATAATAGTGTGAACCGTGGTAGATAGATTGATCTGGGATACCGAATGATGCATGCCCAGATCCCAGAGCTGCGTGAGTCGAAGCTTAAGTCTCGACCCGTGATAAGCGGTATCAAAACCAACCCTAAACGATTTGATCTACGCCAAGCGCCTCGAGGGAGGTAGGCAGGGTGGCCAACCTTCGTGACGAGGGCATCACAAGGTTAGGTGTGGGAGAATATCACGGACTTAAGGAAGAGTCCTGAATCCTACATCGAATATAAAAAGAATGTCACTGGGGTATATAAAGGTTCACACCATCTCTTCCTTGTGAGGCACCTTTTGTAAGATAAAATCGTAAGGTCAAGGAAGACAATACCTCACAAGGGTGTGAACCGTGACAGGTAGGCTGATCTGGGACGTTGGATAAGTGCATGCTCGGGTTCTAAAGCTGCACGGGTTGGAGCTTAAGTCTCGACCGGTGACAGGTGCACAGGTCTAGAGACCAACAGCAAGGAAAATGGAACAAGAGAGAAGGAAAGCCAGTAAAAAAGCTTGAGTTTTAAGCTTTATAAATAAAAGAGTCCTTTCCCAAGAAGAATCACTAGTATTTTTAAGTAAGTTATACTATTATTCCCACTTTTTACTAATATTTAAAATGAAAGAAATAATCGTTACGTATATTATTACACAGAAAAGTACTTTCTTTTAGCAAGAATTTCAGTTGATGTTAGTGGTTACACGACAACTATTTTTAGTCCCTCCCCTTTATTTTTTCCAGTTAGATCACTAGACTTAATATTATATACTTTCTCTTCTTTGTCTTTATATATATATATTTTGTTAATAATAAATTTGAAGTAGATAGGTTGTTCAGTCTCTAGATT